AGCAACAACAGCAGTGCAATAAGATTTCATTTTGCCCGCCACACTCAACCAAACTCTTAGAATAGTCGAGGCAATAAATTCTGAATTTTACCACAAATCATAAACAATGCGATTGCTAAGGAAAGGTTGAATGCAACAGATTAAAGCAAAACACTGCTACTATAATCTGCAACTCATATTTTGCTGCAATGTGTTTCACCATTTCAGTTGCTGTCAACTTAGAATGGAAGGGGATGAAGAGTTTACTAAAGCAGCAATAGTTTTGACCCACGTGACTCTACTAAAATATTTGTGAATTTTTAAAGTTCTATCTCTAATTGTCTGATTTTCACCAATTATAATTGTAATGCTGTCATATTTCAATTTTAATCCATACGATGAAGTTATGTTAAAATATTTGATACAGCTTTCGTCCTCAGAGATCAAAGTGAAAAAAACGCTTCAAACTAGCTTTTTGGGGTGCTCAATAGTTTTTTTTAATTCCTAATACAATAGAAGCTCACTTGGGTTTTTGGGTAATTCGAATTTGCGAAAAGTTCTAATTTGTAGACGTGTTTTATTTAATTTTTTTTAAATTATCATAAAAGTTTATTTCAGCCGCATAAAAAGTTTATTTAACGGCTGAAAGCAATTTTATTAAGCTTTATTGTGTAAAATATAAAGTAATGTTTGCTTGTTTTTTAGATTAAGTCAGATTCTTTACAATGTGATCGGTACTGAGAGTTAAAAGATTGGTCATGTGATCAGTGGGAAACGAGTCATTCTTTTTGCACCACTTTGTTAAGATATTGACACTTTCAATCGCTTTAGAATAAGACACATTTGGTGTGGGATTGCGAACGTCATCTTCAATGTTACTTGAAATGCCATTATTGGCATTAAACTCATATTCCGATGCGTATTGAACTTGCACTTTTGAATGCGTTTCGTTAAAGTGCGTATCTTGAATACTCCCCCTTTATTTTTTTTTTTAAAAAGTAAGAACACTTTTAATGACTTACTTATTTATACCAAACTTAAAAATAACAGACAGGAGAATTCGCTTAAAAATTCCTTACAACCAAAAGATCTAATTTTAGAGCTTTTAGTGCATACAATGTATTGAAATTTTTTGGTTCTAATTTCTAAACAATTCGAATTAGTAAGAGTTCTATTTTGCAATACTCTATCGTATATATATAAAAACTTTAACTGAAGTTTCTGATCCATAGCTGTACTTAGAAATAATATTAGGTGAGCGAAGACATGGATTTAACTAATAATATTCCTTTTCCTACCCAAGATCATATCACTTTCATATACGTATATGTAATTTAATAATGTATTAACATAGTAGAATGAATATAAAATAGTATATAATAATAATATATTAAGGTAGAAGAAATAAAGTGACCTCCTGCCTCTATCTGTTGATACCCCTTTCCAAGTCACATAAATATTGTAGTACCTTCTCGGTTGAATCACTTTTACCTACTTCTGTACTAACTAGTTACCAACGTGGATTGATTTAAGTTCCCTTCTCACCAATTGGCCAATTAAAAATGGTCAAATCTTACCATTGCACTCTTGTCAAGAATTTCATGACCCATTTACTCCAAATATATAAATTTATATATAATATTTAGATCCCAAGAAACAATATTTAAGTCCCGCATCCTTCACTAACACCCAATTTCCTTGCTACACGTCCATGCTTTCTGGCTCAGATTACCCTAGTCCGCTAGGTATTAAGCCTTTTGCTTTAATCTCTCTCTCTCTCATTCTCTCTCTCTCTTGATTACTGGAATGGGGTTGTACCCGCTGCACACGGCTGTAATCTTCCATATTCATTCCTAGGAGGTGATTTTAGTGGGTTCAAGTCTCACACTGCGGCTTTCGATGCTTTCCACCTATTGCAAAAAAAAAAACAATATGTTATAACAATATGTTATATAATATGTTTACAACAAATAATATCGATTATTACGTGAAAATGAATCACAGGACGACATTGTATCTAACCCAATGAAATTTATATGGATCAAACTTAGTGCACTTGATTCAAATTCAATCGTACTATTTTTCAACTAACTTTACGGAAATTTAATAAATTACAGTCTAAAAATCCGACGACTGGTTATAAAACACCTTACCGTCCTCCCAAGTTTATGCCAGATGTGGCATCGAAAAGGCTGTCAACTACTTAAGGGAGGTAGAATTTCTTCCAATGATTATTGTAAGTGAATATTGACAACTTACGTTTATATTACCAATTTTTGCTTTATAATTACAGAAGAGCTTTGAAAATTTTAACATTTTATTAAACAAAGAGATTATAAATCCAAATGCAATTCTGAAGATGCACTGCATTTAGAATTATTTTGTGTCATTCTGCAATTTTTCTTTGGTCGATCGTCTGCCAAAATTCTGTCAAAACCAGAAACAAATAAGCCGAATAAATTTGAATGTGAATTTATTTTACATTTAAAAAAAATAAAAACAAAAACAAAAACAAAAACAAAAACAAAAGCAAATGTTTCAGTTGTGTTTATTGTTGTAATTACCGCTGCTGCAGTCGGCTTCGCAGCTGACTCGCGTTTAGTTGAGTTGAGTAATTTGTCATTTTGATGTGATGTGGTTGAAAGATGGAAGATGGAAGTAAAGCAAAATAAAATTAATTTGGCTTGTATGCGTGGGCTGACGCGCACGCCACTCGCCTATTAATTGCATTAAAATTTATTGGGCAGTGTTGTTGTTGCTACTTTGATACATGTATGAAATTTAAATGAAGTTGTCAACACTTCAACTAGACAGACACTCGCTGGTACGTTCAATTCAAAGGTGTGAATATGCGTGCTAGCCTCCTCCTCCTCTTCCTCCTCTTCCTCCTCCGTTCCTCCGTCTCTTGTAGGTGCGAATTATAATTATCCCATTAAGGTTAATGACTAAAATAGTTGCCCATTAATTTCTGCTAAGCAGCACGGAAACAGATGGTTAATATCGGGCAATGGTGCCATTAGCGAAAATTACGACAAAACAGAAGCAGAAATAATTTTTGTTAATAGTTTTGTAATTGGGCATGTAATAATGCTGGTTTGATTTGTTCCTTAACATGAAGCGCTTCATAAAAACAATTTACTGGTGACTTAAATTCAACCTTCTATCAAAGCCCTTACACATTGCAAATATAAAAGAATAAAAGCATCTAAAGCCACAGTGTGAAATTTGAACCCTCTAAAACCACCTCTAAGGAATCAATGGAGTAGATTTCCACAGTAGGAGATGAGGAGACTTCATTCCAGTAATCAGTGGCGAAGGGGAGAGAGATGTGAACAGATAGCCTTAATAAGCCTCAATTAGGCGCAAATTATGGAGATAGGGTGATGGTGAAGGGGATGGAGTTAAAGCGCATACGCGCGGGTGATATCTAAAAGTATTTTAAGGTCGCACAATTTTTTACCATTCAGAGAGTTTTGCAGAGACTGAAGAAATGATTAGCAAACGATGCAAATTCCGGATTATACTATGAAAATATCAAAACTAACCAACTAAGTTCCAATAAGTTCCTCCTAGAACACAATTTAATTTCTATTGGCAAATTCAGTTCACTCTTCCTTGATTGTTTCGTTGATGTGGTCGAGTTAAGGCCAGTATGGAATCGAATGACTAGAGCAGCTCATAATAAACAATTCCTTTCCAATCGCACCAATTTCCTTTCAATTGTTCACCGTCAATATAAGCTCTGAAGTCGTTTGGGGAAAGACTTATGAAATTTATGAAGGCAGAACATATAAATATGTATATAAAATATTTGTATATACAGTGGTAAGATCATTAGAATGATATGAAAAGTAAATAATTAATATAAAATACGTAACGGAACTAAATTGTAGAACACTTCAAATTTAATTATGTATTGGCTCTAAATTTATATATAAAACTTACAGTTAATATTTGCAAACAAACTGAGGGTTCAGATTTTTCTGACATCTAAAAAGGAACTGGGAAACATTTTGACACAGTTGAAAATCATTTCAATCACCTAATACATCCAAAAAATAAATACAGATACAATACAATTTGATCTTGACCCATTAACGCATAATATCCGTATAGCCTGAAACAATTACTATTCACGAACTCACTTGGGTTTTCCATATATGTAACAATGTTAAATGCCATTATAAAAATGGACAATTACGAAGACACTATCGCCTAACGATAGTACCGTTTAATGTCATTAAATTATGACTTCAGAATACCTAAAATGAATTTTATTGCAGGTTTCGTTTGACATATTTATCGACAATTATTACATAAGGTGACCAGCTGTAGGCGTCGGTCTTTCAAAAGTGACGTCCCGAATGTTGTATGTAGTTTAGGAATGTGCTTTGAATTGCAACTGTCATCAAGTACGTCGAATTCAATCGATTCAGCAGAAAATTTTTGATTACCGCTTAATTATGCTGAGCATGCGCCAGTCACTGACCAAGCTCAACGAAACCACGACACTGCTTTCTTACATTTTCAATTCTTCGGCTTCACTTTCGGTGGAAACCGCCCATTTCAATTTCGTTTCGATTAGCTGTAAATGGTAATCTTCACCCCACCTTTCCAATTTACCACAATAAAACATAATTTATAATTAGTTTAATTCCGGGCAGGTTCGGCGTTTACTGGGCCTTTGATTCCCGGTCATGAATTCGCAGTTATGCGTATGACACAATAAGAAATTCGTAATAATGTGTGAACCGTGGTTTAGCGATGTTGGCATTACGTTGGTCAATTCTTCGCTATTTTGCTATTTTGGCAGCAATGCTTGTTGGAATTATATTACTAAATTATGCGAATGCGCTTGCAGGTCTGTAGAATTGCAAAACTATCTTCTTCCGGCTGGTATAAAAGTACGTGGGAGTTTAAGTACGGACATCAGTTGAGCTCAGCTAACAAAACAGTAAAGAGTTCGAACGCGTTAAACACTTTATTTTGAGAAAATTGAAAATAAGCTAGAAATCGTAGCAATGAAGGTACTACCACACATAAGGATGAAGGATTAATATAAAATTGACAAATTTTTATTTTTTTCTATTTTTCTATTTCAGACTTTCATCTGTGTTTTGACTTTTGCTTTAGCCGTTAATGCCGGCCTTTTGCCACACCATGTTGATGAATTGCCACATTTCGCCGATGGCCCACACCATGACGATCTTCATCATGCAGAAGTACATCACTCAAATGGTATACATCTCGGACAAACCTCAGCAATTGTTATTGATGGTGGCGAACATCATATTGAGCAACATCCTGTCTATCACCACGATGATCACCATGGTGCAGTAGAAGTACATCATAACTCCATTCATGATATACACCATGACGCCATTCACGATGTTCACCATGATGTACATCATGCAGCTGCCGCAAAAATTGTACACCATGAGCCGATACATCATGTTGAGCCAGTACATCATGTCACTAAGGTAGTGCATCATGAACCACATCATTTCTTGCATTATACTAATCCCGTTGTTGATCATCATGTTGTACATCAAAATCACCACATCGATGAGCACCATCATGCTGCCGATTTGCACCACAGTGAATTGCACCATCATGCATCACTTGTCCATCATCATGTGCCCGCACATATCGTTGATCATCATCATGCGCATGCTTTTGTACGCCATGTGCCAGCACACCATCTGCACCATCATGCCGCCATTGTGGAGAAAGTTTATCCCGATCACTTGCATGTGCATGGCGCCAGCAATCTGATTGCCTTCGCCAAGCAAAAGTTGCACGGAAAATTCGGCAAAGTCAGAATCACAGAAACTCATTACTAAACGATTTCATTGTCTTCAATTGAATTCACGACGCCTTCATTGCTAATTTATTTAAACGAACTCTCTATACATTCTACGTCCTTAGTTATAAGTTCCCATGTAAATACTTTTATTTTAATTTGCAAACATGAAACTTCAAATTAAAAGAAGTTCATTATGATTCAAAAATAAACGAATCTTAACAATAATACACCCACGTTTTAGAAAAGTTAAAAGATCGAACTTCCTCCATTTATGTTCCTCCATTTAGTTTGAATAGAGTGGCTAAATATTTATCTCCAAAGAGCATTTGAAAGAACCACAGATTATAAAATGAAATATAGTTTAGTGGGAAGAAGTGTAACTAAAGAAAGTAGATGATTGCATATAGATTATATAGTTGTAAGGAGGTTTTAAAGATCCTTGCCCATCAAGATGTAAAAACTTTCAGAATTATTTTAATCGTTTGATTGATATTATATTTGTGGTTCAATACTTTCTTAAGAAGCATTTCTGTTTAGGCCTTTTCTAATTGCTTCATGAATGTCAAACTTCGTCCATTTTGTTTTAAGCTAACTTTAGTAATGAACTTCAGAATAATTATTAACAAAACACACCTAAGCCAGTGGCGTAACTACAGGGAAGCGACTGGAAGCAACGCTTTCGGCCTCACGAATTTAGGGGGCCCCATTATAAATTTATGTATTTATTGTATTTATTTTTAATAAATTCTCAAAAGTAGAACGAAACGATTTGCCGTATAGTTGTGCTTCAATCCTCAATTTCTATCGGTGCTATATTTAAATCTGCATCTACTCCATATAGCAAAATAGTCCATTAACCAATAACATATACCAAATTAAATTGGAATATCTTTATTAAAAACGGAGAAACTCCATATCCGCTTGTTAAGTTTATATGGCAGCTATAAGAAATAGTAGTTTAATTTCAATCAAATCATATGGTGATCAGGGGCCGCTTCCAAAAAGAATGTGTGTAAAGTTTCATTCGAAGAGTTCAAAAGCTGAGAGAGTAGTTTGAACTAAAAAGATATATAAAAAGATATATACTTTACTGATATATACTTTATGGTATTTACGACGTTTCCCTTAATACGTTACGAAAGTGTGGACAAACTTTATATACCCTTTTTACACTTTTTCGTGTAAAGGGTATAAAAAGATGTTAGTAGGGGCCCCTTAATTAGTAGTTGCTTATAGGCCTAAAAAATGTAGTTACGCCACTGACCTAAGCATTGTGTAAGTAAATAGTTTTCGGATTGAACTTAGAGTTTAGATGTGAATGTTCCCATGCATTATACAAGGCTAATAACTTCAACTTGAAATATTAACTCAAAGCTGTGTTTATGAGCAAACACTCATCAATCACAGTTGCACTTCACCTGCTCAACTATCGAATCAACAGATGAGATGAACTCCGGCGATTGTGTCCTCAACGCGCAAACGTGAGAAAACGCCCACAATCAATGCCGCAATATATCAAAATTGCAGGCGAGCCTAACGACAGGTACACATACAGACTAACAGGCAAACGGACGGTGAGACAGACGGACAAACGATCTGCAGTATTTTGCATGTGTAGAGACATGAACAGAGACATGAAGCATCAATTTACACCAGCAGGCGTCAGAACAGAGCGCCGAACGTATCACGCAATCTCGGCTGCAGCGTGTGGGGCCTTGGTGGTCAGATAGAGAGTCCAAGAGAACTATGAAATAAGTGAGGGTGTTATACGCATGGGCAACACGTGATCTGCACTGATTTCATACGTTTTGAAGATGTGATTCTCTAAGAAAACCAAGTGAGTGCCATATGAGTTGCTCGCGTGATGATTTTATTTATTGTTGCCAGTAAATTATAGAAATAATGGTTTTCCATATGATATTTAAATATAAAAATATAAAAAACAAATTGAAAGAATTGAGAGAAGCACAAGAATTGATTTAGAAAGGAACGCGATTACGTGCCAGTGGTTGCAAGTGTCTCTTGACCAAAAGACAATGAAGACGACAAAATGTACAAAATATTGTCGTAAAAAGTTGGTCCTGTGGTGGTGGCACTCGTTTTGCAAAAAGTTAATGTTCCACTCACTGTCCGGTAACGATTTGTTGCTATTTCAATGGCAAGATCAACAATGAGCGCCGCCGAAGCCGCGAAGTGCTATAGCGGCTCTAGCAGCAAGCCAAACATCAATATAATAAAACTATAAATGATCACAGGGGTTCAAGCGGAGGCAGTGACAGAGGCGAGTAATAAAAATTCGTGCAGCTCGTATATAAGCCAAAAGTATCACGACAATTTTTACAACTGATTTTATTTCGTTCAAACACTTTTTGTTAGATTTTTATTTGAACTTTTTGTGTAATTATTACTGCAACCACTGCATTGAGCGAGTGCAGCCGAGCCGAGCCGAGCTGAGCGGAACTGCAACAAGTGTTGCGCTTCAAAAACCTCAAATGTCGTGTTGCGATCTGCAAATATTGAATGGTTTCGATGGCAATCGTTGGCAATTCAGCACGTACCGTTCCTTAAGTTGTGTATCTGCTCAGTAACTTGGGATTGTTGCATCTTTAGTGCCACAGTAAAATGGCTCGTTGACAGGCAATAAGTGTCAAATGCTTATCACGTTGCAATGTGTTTTGCTGTGTGCTATTTGCTGTTTGCTGTTTGCTGCTTACAAAATGCAATGATCTTGTCAGTAAGGCACAGTTCGGCAGTTAGCAATGTCGTAAATGGAGTTGCTATGCAAATATATGGGCAATTTCACTTCTGCTGCACTTGGCGGGGATTCAATGCGGGATTGAATCGCGGATTAACTTCAAACATTTTCATTGACTAATCCAACTTGACTCAGCGCATTGTGGACTTAATGTCGAAATTATGAGTTCGACATAATTGAAAAGTAGCTGAACTGCTGCAATTTGCAAATGTTTGGCTTTAATACCCGCACTGGCCACATAATTAAGGTAGCATTAAAAGTATTGCGCACTGTTCTTAAATAATTTTCTTCACTCTTCTCTTCGCTCCAAATTCCAGTGACGGCGGATTCGGTTGTGCCTATGTGCTAACAGCTCAGCAAACAACTTGTTGGGTGTTCGTGCTACGCCAACACCGGCACCGCACAATGCGAGCGCACAAATTACAAATCACATTTTAACAATTTCAACAATTTTAACTATAATGGAAAGATGTTAAATTTAACTCATTTCCACTTCCAGTTGTGCGAGTTGGTTCCGCGCCTGGCAATTAGCGTGTAGCCAAACGAACAGCCACGTTCACGCTTTGGTTCCATATGCAGCCAAAATGTGATTATTTACTTAATTTAAAAAGGAACACAAAAGAATCTGAACCCTACTAACCTGTCCACAAGTAAACGTTCAGCCACGTAAGCGCAGTAGCAATCATCCTCCCTTTGCCCGGTTGTTCTTTGCGGTGAAAAGTAGTCTGCACTTCGTAATCGTTTGGGTAAATGTTGCGCTGAGCCGCGTCAATTTTGAGTTTGACTTATACTTGTTGTTGCTGCTTGGTTGGTGTCGAATGACGGCTCAGCAGGTTGAACGACCAACCGCAGTCGAATTTGGGCGATCCAAAATGAACAATTTTTTGGAAAATTTGATGTACTCATAAGTGAAATTACAGATTGCTACATAATAAAGAATTCAACTTAATGTAAAAATATTCGAAGTTACATCGCGACTGTAGTCGAAATTACATAACCCTGATATTAAATACCAAGGTTTATGCTTTAATAAAGCGAAGCCCGTAATATATACCAGTGCTTGTAATAACGGAAAACATATCTCATATATACCAGATTGAATATTTCCAAATTGGTCTTTTTCAAATTTTAATTTGAATATTTATATATTAGTCCATTAGCAGAGAAGCCAATCGGAGCTATGTATGGTCCTCATTATACATACTTCTACATTCGTTTTATTGATTGCAGAATGCATATACATGATACTACTACATAATAGATTACTGTTATCCTCTTTGAAATACGATCACATCAGACCTATTAGCTGGCATTTACTAATCTGCTTTACTATGTCCAATCTATTTGAATCTTTTGTTTGGGTTTTTATACACAGGGACTGGAAAAGAGTAGTTGCTTATTGTTGAAAGATTAGTTTTGCGAGACTGATGCATGTATTTAGTTAAGACAAAAGTTCTGCACCTCGACATGAGATCTTTAATTCTCTCATTATTTCAAATTTTTAACGATCAGAATTGGATTTCATCTATACAGAGTATTTTGAATACTAAAGATTTTAGTCTCGGACTTATTTGTATGTTTTAGTTGAGGAATCAGCTTGTGAGTGTTATAGTTTGTATTATGATAGCTTTTTACACATTTATAAGAATTTGTTCTAGGCAATTCTATATTTTCAAAGTATTTTATAAAGTTTTTTGATGCCATTGATTCACAACATTGTTGGAACAATCGCTATATCGTAAATTTCATACATCTTTTAATTCTGTAGCAATTGGAGAGTAGTTCTCTTTATCTTCTTATTTCGTTTAACTGATATGTAAGTCAGATAGAGTTATGCTCATTAGTTGTTACAAAAATTATATGGTAATAGGGATATGATAGTAGTCCACTTACTTACCCTGAGGTGTATTACGAAGGCAACTGCAGAAAACATGCTGGACAACAGAAATACACCACATAATCTTTAAAGGTCTTTTGCTGTGAGGAGAATATAAACAAACGACACAATATCAATTAGCATCCATCTGAAATTTTATACTTTTCCAAATCGAATAATGATTCTGCGTTCCCATCTTAAATATGTCCAACCCCTAGTCGCTATGGATTCTTTACCATCTCTGCTTGTTTTGCCTTCTTCTCTTTATTTTCTTCATCTTTTACACTGAAAAGGTATCAAGTGAATACAAATTTTCAGAAGAATACATTAGAGAATCCCTATACACTGTTAGTCAGGATTACATAGAGAAATTTCTAATTAAAATGTCTACTTTTTAATTTAATTT